CGGAGTTGACCCGGATTTTATCCGGCCAAGGGCTGTCACCCTTTCGGCGACCTAACCCCGTTTAGGTCTACAGGTAACTTTAGTCTAAGTTCGCCAACGGAGCAACACCTCGCAGCTGGGTTGATCTAAATCCTTCTGATCAGGGCTGGTGTAGAAACCAACCCTGGACCGACGGATTACTTCTGCTGCGTGTGTCAAAGAAGACTCCACCATTCATCCACCTCGGTTAGATGCACCCAGTGCAATGGTTGGAGTCATCTTAAGACCTGCTCAGGCCTTAAGACCCACAGGGAATGGACCACGAGTTCTGTGGCCCCATGCTGCCAGCGTCCAACCGCCCCCCCCCCAGCCTCCACGGTAGTGCCTTCAGCACACATACCCACTCTGGGTAATCTGCAGACCTCCACGGTTTTACGGAGCTCCCCGCAGCATGATTCCCTCCAACCCCCATCCCCACCCACAACCAGCTCCTCATCCTCCTCCCGTGCGAGGGCTACCCAGCAGCTCCTAGCCCCCCGCACCGTCTGTTCCGTGTGTCATCTAACCCCCCTCTCCCTTTGGTCCAACACCGTCGAAACAGCTCGTTTCCTGGACTTACCACTAGATGACCTCGGCGACTTAGACTGAACAAACCTGTGCCTAAGCGGGGTTAGCGAACCGCTAAAACAACAACAACAACGACATACAACTCTCACGACATCCGGTTCTACGCACCGGAGTTGACCCGGATTTTATCCGGCCAAGGGCTGTCACCCTTTCGGCGACCTAACCCCGTTTAGGTCTACAGGTAACCTTAGTCTAAGTACGTCAACGGAGCAACACCTCGCAGCTGGGTTGCTCCAAATCTTTCTGATCAGGGCTGGTGTAGAAACCAACCCTGGACCGACGGATTACTTCTGCTGCGTGTGTCAAAGAAGACTCCACCACTCATCCACCTCGGGTAGATGCACCCAGTGCAATGGCTGGAGTCATCTTAAGACCTGCTCAGGCCTTAAGACCCACAGGGAACTTTCGGACGTGCTCTGGGCTGCGCACCACCCGTGAGTGGAGCGTTGCGTTCGTTGCCCCATGCTGTAGGAGTCTGCCCCCGCATGTCTCTACAAACCCTCCGCCAATCAACACCAATGTGCGGAACCAACTCTCGGGGGTAGTACAGCAGCAACACACACCATCCACGCATCACTCCCTCACCCCCCGAATCACGAACGTTCCCCCGAGACAGACCCGACTTCTACAATTCAACTGCAACGGACTCCAGGGAAAGATTGACGACCACCGGATCAGATCTTCTGAACAGGGCCGGATACAACATAATCCGCAAGGATCGAGAGCGAGACCATGGTGGGGGCTTAGCGTTCATCCTGCACAACACCGTGCAGTATCGTCTCATCGATGGCGACATCGACCGCAGGGATACTACCCTAGAATGTCAGGGCATAGCTATCCGGTCAGGCGATGTCGAGCTCGAAATATTTAATATATACATTCCTCCAGTTAGGTGCGCTACTCAGGGGCGAAAACCATTTGGTTTTGGGCGACTTTAACGCGCATCACGATCTTTGGCATTCTAGCCTGTCAAATGACCGTAGAGGAATGGAGCTGGCGGAACAGATAGACGATTCGACATTCTGCACAATGAACGATAACACCCCCACCAGAGTTATGGGTAATTGCCAAAGCTCGCCAGACATAACAATTGCGAGTGCTGGTCTGATAAACAGTATAGTCTGGCGACCTATACTGACGTTAGCATCGGACCACTTGCCCATACA